ACTCGCTGCAAATCTCACAAACAAGAGTGGTCCTGGTAAGTTTTCATGTTTTATCTGGTGTTGGGTAATCCAGGATAAGTGTGTGCGATAAAGTGGAAGATTTGGCCTTCAGGAAACTAAAGATACCTGCCCAACTGCTCCGATTCCCGCACCACCTGGGTACCCGCCCACCTTCGACCTGTCACTCATTTGAGAATTTAAAATGCCCGGTAAATACACACCCACTTTCCCCCAGTGCCGCACCTTCTTTGTCTTTTCGTGTCTACACCAATAAATATGATTGTTGTTGACTAGGAGCACAGCGCAATTATGACGGAAAGGCGGAAAGGTCGAGTTGAGAGAGGACAAACGGATGGATCAAACCTAGCCCAGCCTTAGACAGTCTGTTTTTTTTCTTCAAAAAATGGCCAGCTTACTGGGTTCCCTTTCTTTTTCAGGTAAGGTGTCTTAGTTACGACCTGAATTGAGATGATCATAGAAGCAGCCACTTTTCGCGCAATTAAGCTGAACGCCAACTTACACGTGCTTCGCGGCCTGTAGCGCTCTTCGAGCATCGGCTGTACCCTAAAAAAGCATTAGGAGAGTGTGATATTGATTTGGGGGGTCGCCTACCAGCTGGAGAATGACCTTGCCCTTCTCTTCGGCCGATGTCCTGAATACTACAGTGCCGTCCGGGTGCACATAGTCAATGGTCCCAAGTTTTGCTAAATGACAGAAAATAGTACCGTCTGCATAAATGTCATCTTAAACGACAATGGGAAACAGATTGGGACAAAAGTAGCAGTAATGTTCGTCGGACGACGGTCGTGTATGCATTAGATGCGCTGGGACACGCCATTTGTTAAGCATGCTGGGACGGCGAGATTATCAACTTTAAAACTTTCTACTGATGATCTAGTTAATTCTAGGCAATTCATAAGGAAGAACTTCCTCAATATCCCACCAGACACACAGCATCGCCATGTCACGATAATGATCAGAAATAGTTCTAGGTGAGAAGCAGATTCTACTGTTGGGACAACACTTCTATTCGTATGACTTTCCGACTTCCGTCGCGGATTGTTCATCAGAGACATTAACAGGAAATAGTAGCAGAAACGCGTTTCTTGCGATTTTGTCGCAAGATTGTCAGTAGTACAAAAAATGTCATCGAAAATACTACAAAATGTCGATTAACACTTACTGTGTTATAAGACGTACTATATGTATCAAGCTGCATTTTCTATCTCCCCTATTTGTTCACAACAATCCGTCGCTAAATTATATGCACATGAAGCGGGACGCCCACATGCGTTAAAATGCTCACCGTTTTCAACCCTGATCGTTCGGAGGAGCTTGAAGTCAATTATTTCCTGAAAAAAAGAAAGGAGACCCAGTGAGCTTTTAAATAGCTAGCCATCTTTTGAAGAAAAAAACAGACCGCTCTTTCCAGCCTCGGGGAGGCAACCGTTCTCGTCTGGGAAGATTTTAAAAAGAGGCCAAGGGGCCCAGCACATCTGGCCAGGAGGCATGGACTACGTCGAACACCGAACATACCGCGAACATAGTGAAAGTTAAAACTCCTACTTCCAGTGGGAATACTCACTACTGCAGAAAAAAAGAGACGCTGACCAATCGGAAACCGAAGAATTTCTAGACCGCAGACCAGGCGTTGTGTTCCGCTATTTGTGTCTTTTGCTCACTTCTGTTAAGAGCTTTGCCACCAAAACGAAAGGTCTAGGTAAGTTGAGCCCTAAAAACGCATTCGCGCTTGATTTAGCTAGTTTCTTTGGCACTCGTTGTGGTGCTTCTTTGTGGGTCGGATTCGCTGCTGATCACGACCTAAGTTTCTTGTGTTCGGCTTGAAGAGGAGGATGAGGAGGGGTAAACGGTAATACTTGCCCCTTCAACATATCGATGGTGCTGGTGTGCACAGCTAAAAATGCGAACTACCAACCCCGGTCAGGCTTTACCGCTTCTATTTGGTACGTACATTGCTCTACACGGTGGTGGCACAAACGACGCCGGAAAAAGGTCCTCGGATCAGCTTACCGCCTAGCCAAACCATCTAAGTTGGAAGCCTTTTGCTCTGTCGAAGCATGGCCCATCACTGGGAGTCATTGTGTTATTCATCAAAGGACTCGAGACCTTAGTTTTGCTAAACTAACAGGCTGAGGCCACGCTTTGCCTCAACAAACGGGATTGCTGGTCCTGTTTTATATTAAACCCAAACGCTTGCTCACGTTGAAATAAGCGAAGGTTCCGAAGTATAGGCTGCGCGAGCGAACTGTCGCAAGGGATAGGAGCCCGCTCGGAGACGGCAGAACCTTGACTTGTGTATGATTTGTGTGAGTGTGCGATATGACTAATGCGTCTCGCCTCAAACATAGGAAAAACTTCCAAAAAAATATAGCGAAGCAATCACGATCAACTGATATCTAGCCGTAGTTGAGGAAGGAAGTCCCACAGACACAAAGTTAATTTTCTTTCTTAATCGTTCCCAGTAAGGTTGCCAGAACTATGAGACTATGTGCGTTAAGAACGCATGCATCTTCATCTAAAGTTTCCGGACAGGACAGGGCAGTGGACGTAACCTAGGGTTCGAAACACGGCAGTGTTGGCCTGATTGGGCGTTTTTGTCATCCCAAGTGCTATGGTAAGAGTCGAGTTTACTTTACAGATGGAGATAAGTGAGGGAAGGCGGCCTTGTCCAAAGAAAGTGTAAAGGACGAAGGATTATTGATCCACCCTGTGTTCGCATGCTTGGCGTCATTAAGTTCAGGGACTACTCGCGTATACGTTCCACTCCCAGGGTAGTCCAGTCAAATAACCAAACGTGGCAATGGAGCATGTGGTGGGTTTAAACTAAAACAATTCGCTCTTGGGGAGCTGCCGTAGACAACTGCAACTACAAGAACAATAATAATCATAGTCCCTCGCTGGCGCACTTTGGTGGCGGACGCACGGAGGCGATCCAGTGAGGCTGAGACATGAGTCACGTAGAATTATGTTCTCACAGTCAAGGCAGTTCAAATTTTCCCGTTAGCAGATTGATCAGAAAGACGGAGCACTCGTTCTCCCGGACAAAATTGATGCATCAGACTTGCCGAAGGAAGTCAACCGACTGACAAATTGTATTGGATTGGATTTCCGTTTATAGTCCGCTCTCGCCCAGTGACTGTCCGTCTGACCAAGTGCTAAACCGTCCCTGAGCGAGTGCAGATGAGTTCTCCAAAAGACGGGCGACAAGGACATCGGATTGTGAACATTGATTAAAATCATTCTTTAACGAAAACAACCTACTAATGTAGGTTTTAACGGCCTGAAACTGTTGTAATAGGAAGCTGTTGTGGTCTTATGGCTTTTGGAGAGGATCAGACAGATATCCCGCCCCTTTTTTCCTTGGCTCGCTGTGGTAAGCAAATAACCAGTCTTCAGCGAGTATAACAAACCACGTCAGCGCCCTGGAGCTTGTGAACATCGGATTTCCGGCGTTGTGTTATCCAATATGGTTTTAGGGGGCAGACAGGGTATGCCACCCAAACCATTATGACTAAACCTATAAGGTCCTCACATTGGACCGAAGAGTGCCTGCAGTTGCGGCGACAATGTACCACATCAATACGCAATCTAAATGTGGATATATGCTGGGGTTCTGCACAGCTTTTCAAGGAAATCCATCTTCACTGAAGCTAGGAGAAAGCGAGCAAAATTAAATATCTTAGGTAGCAAGACGTCCTTTTGGAAACGGAAAATCCGCTATTTTCAGGCCAAAGGGATGGAATATTCTAATCTTTTTTAGCTGTTTACGTGGAGGATTTGGAGGTGTAATACTATCCGAAGAGCACACCGTCTTCTGCAAAGTTTTTTTCGACTTCCAGCTCTCTGAGCTGCAAAATACTCTACGCTTTTTTATTTGGCCTCAGCTCTAAGAAGAAGTACATTTAACATTTTATGAGTGTTGGGAAGGTCGAGTCATAATTCCGGCCGTCTTGAGGACACGAGAACAATGGAAGCAACAGGCCAGTCCGGTGCATACAGAACGAGCCAAGTCACGCGACCTTAAACGGCAGAAACCACGCGAGGAGGAAAAGGAGTTACGCGCACGCGCCAAGTGTCGGCGCCCGATGGCAAAGGGGTAACAAAGACGGCTGACCCTAAAATAGCGAGGCTGCGAGCAAAACGACTCTGTTGCTGGAGACGCGCTACCGACGAGCCGAGATTCTGCTGTTAGCGACCCGGGACACGGAACGCTATTTGCCGAGACGACGACAGAACACAGGGTGCGGGACACACAGGAAACAGAGCTGATGTACTATTAATGCTGACAGAACTGCTATCCTGTTCTGCCTTCTCTTCCCAAGTGGGGGACATAACCAGTGTTGGCACAGAAACATACTCGGTTATAACAAGGAGAAAGCACAGGATTAAAGTTGGGCTCTTAACGCTGCGTCAACTGTCTTACCTCAGTGTACACATAGGTGGCCCCATATTGAAGTGCCAGCAGACGCATGGGATGGGTGGTGACACGCACCATAGGTCCGAGCACAACTGCACCATTAAAGTCCATAGACACCTGTGTGTGATAAATGGTCCTTGTCAATGTCAGAGTTATCATGTTACGTAAAGAAAGAATGCAAGAAAGTCACCGGTGAGCGATCCCAACAGCATATATTTTCCCCAAATCCGCAAGTATGAAGAACAGAGCAAAGGACTGTGGAAATCTGAAGAGAGGGTAGGGTCCGAAGAGATTGTTAGTGGTAACGGAAAAAAAACAGAAATTTGTATTACAACTGCGAGGGAGGAAGAAGCCTCTGTCAATGGAAAACCGAGAACAGAGCCGTAAAAGGTTTGGAATGCGAGTAGGGAAGGCGCGGGGCAAGGAAAAAACGGATGGGGAGAGGAGACGCGCAAAGCAGGCGACCAGAAAACATGAGGAAAAAGAAGATTATTTAAAGGATATGTCTAATATATTTTACATCGCTGGAAACTGATATACGGTAGATTTGGTGCCTGTCGTTGCACGTGGGTGTACCAGCGCAGAACTTCACAAATACTCTCCTTATCCTCAAACGTTAATTGGGCCTAAACAGGCGGAAAGCAATTATATAACCCGAAATGCTGAGATACCAAGGACTCTTTAATAGAATCAGCAATAAGGAAGTCAACTGCCTTGATAGCAAAACCAGTCAGATAGGTGCGATTCTGTAAGTCGGTAGAAAGAATCTAAAATGTCGATGTATGAGAAGGACAGATAAACTCACGCGAAGCTGTTTCTTCTGCTCAGCTTTGTCTGATTTTGATTGAAGAAACCGCTGGTTCCATTCAATGTACTGGAAGACAAGAGCTTTTTCGACGTCAGTTGACGCTAAAACGAAAGCGGATTATAGTCGGTGAGGAATATCCTTGAAAGTTTTGTATACAGACAGTTGGATATGTCTAAAAAGCACTTTCTAAGCTGGTATAAACGTTCCATTAGGGAAGACGATAATACATTCTATAGCTAGAAGTAATATATGTTGTAGTTTTGTAGTGACTATTTGTGGATCCCCGTAAAATAGAGAGCGTCGTTTAGTCAGCTATATGGCAAAACGGTATAAATATTTCGAGGTTAGATCTAGGACGGAATCATGATAGGCTTAAGTTAGGATTATAGCGTCACCCGATGCGTCGGTTTGTTTGACAAACCCTACGAATGAAGGGGGACTAAAACATGTTAGGCCAAAAGCGAGAGCAGTCATAGGAAGCTACTCGTGCTGAAATGTGACACAGGCTCAGATAAAACACCGACTATGCGGTGCTACACGACCAGAACACAAGCAAACTTTTAAGTATAAAATTGAGTGATACAAATAAGCGTTCAGGTTGATGTATGACTTCAGAACTAAGTGTGTGATCGTGAGGTGAAAATGTTCAACAGAAAGCACTACTCCCCTTCATTTAGCGATCTGAACAATTCGCCGCCATATCTACAGCCGATCTCTGCAGGTCTGAAACCAAACCTACGAATGCTGCTCAAGAGGGATCCATGCCAGGGAACAACCGGTAGAAAAGCAAGAGCGGTGGCAGTGTGGTAGGTGAAAATCCATGATCGTTTAAAAGAAGAAATTAAGTTTTTCAAACGGTTGAGCATTCTGGGAACCAAATTGAATAAATCCAATTATATAGCTTAAGGAGCGCAATGAGCAAGCAAATGAAACCACATCATAGCCATTGCGATCAAATGCCGCTTTTTACTCACAGGTGCAAAGACCAGTCTTTGCACTTGTGAGTAAAAAAGCGGCAAACAAACAGTGGGTGCCCAGGTATGATATCCGGAAGGACACATATAATTCGCCTTCAAATAGGTTGATCGCAGATTTCGCTCTTATCTAAATATTTAGAAAAGGAGCACAGTTATTTAAGCAGACGACGCTTCAAAGATATTTAAACACATAAATTGTGGTCGGAAATACCTATTCCAATAATTATTCATAGTGTTTACATTAAATTTTGACCGGATGTCGCGCAAAAATTTTTTTTACAAAATTACCCTGAAGACCCGGGCTGTTTTCCGATAGAGACTGCAACGCAGCCAGACAATTCATCGCAGCACGCAATGACGATATACCGGCGACATATACGCCATTGACCTCATTCAGTTCATAATTTGCCAGGGTGTATACGAAGGTATTGCCTATTCGGTCGCCAAAACCATTTATGTTTCCTACGTAAAGTGCGCAGGACTTGAAACCCAGACGAACTTAAGAGGGTTTCTAACAAAAAAATCTCATAACAGATTCCAGAAGAAGAACTGTTTTGAAGGACTGTATTTTCCGCTGACATTGGCATCTTGCAGCTTTTCTCCATACGTGTACTGCTAGCGTCTATATTTTCGAAGCTACAATTATCCTTGGTTTGCTGTTTAATACACTGAAGCATGACCATTTTAGCGTACTTCTATGAGTTTCTTGTGAAAATGCCAGTCATAATGACAGGTCACGAGAATATATTGCGCACTTCAGCAGAACCTTTCTCTAGAGTTTCGTCTTATCTTATTGAGTAGAGGCTTACTGTAGTTGTGCCTGAAAATGGGTGCTTCTTTGGCATTGTAGATTAATTACTGGCTTCATCACACAATTATAGTCGTATTTTCCTAATCATCTAAGGTAGATTTTTTATATTTCGGTGGCCTGCGTGACTACACTTTCGGAGAGTTAGGACCATATTCTGTAACATATATTCGCAGCTTAACTTAATTGTTTAATTTCTCCCTTCTTACCTGAATTGAATTTTACTATTTAACATAAAACGCCTCCATCAGGCAAAAACTTCAGCTTAGAAAACTCGATACCTCTATCGCAAAGGAGTTAAGGCTACGACGGTTTAACCCTAAATACTGCGATCTTCCAGGCCCGGTTCCTTAGGAAAAGAGAGAAGTCTTGGAAA